GAAGGACCTCCCTTGGAAGTTCAGCCACTGATCCTGCCCTTGGTCTGTGATGGAGAGAGTTACAGCTCTACTCTGAGCTGCACAGCAGAGATGGTAAATGAATAGAACTCTTCGGATGAAACAAGAGGTGAAGAGCCATTGTTTTTCTCGCTCATTCCCATCCTGTGGAGACCAGAAACATGTGCTTTGCTGTCCCTGCAGTCTGGCCTTTCCTCAGCCTGCCTGCCTGAGCGAGTGAGCAGGCCTGGTCTGGCCCAACTCTACCCTGACCAGCTGTTAAGCCAACAGAACACCACTAAGTAGCTGGCACCAGGGGAAGGGTTTTGCCTTTTTAGTACCCAGTGTGTAATTAGTGCTTGATGTCTTCAAATTGAGAGCATTAATGGAGCTAAATTGTGGATCCCATATGGTACTGCTGAGCACGGCTGCTGTCATTGTCAACAAGATACAGCATGCTCTCTTCTTTAATTTTTGTCAGCAGAGGGTTCAGTGTGTCAGCAAGGCCCAAGTTTCCCTTCTTTTCTAGAACAGTACCTCTAGCTGGGAGTCAAGTATGTAAGGTTTCTTCTATATCATCAACGTAAAGGACAGTCACTTAACTCCTAGCTAGAACTCTGAGGAGGAAGGCTTGAAACATGGAAACAATGATATTTTGGAAGGAGGTAACAAAAGGGATGGGAAGGAAATGGATTTGGTGTTTCTGAGGCCAGAGACAGCCTGAGCTCTGTAAAGGAAAAGAGTGAATGAAAGCAGATCAAGGGAGTGTGAGTGTGCAGTTGTTTCCCACAGCTGAGAGGGAACATAGGTGGATTAGGTGGTACTGGCAAGTGAAGACCAAATGCTGCTGAGGCCTTTGGTTACTAGTACTCAGAGATTGTCTTGTGTGATAGCTAATATCGTGATGTAATGTGGGTTGGAGAATTGGATTCTGTTACTTTTATCAAGAAAAAACCACACCCCAAAGTAGTTGGCTAAACTAACTGGAGTGTGCTGGCAAGCAGGACACAGCTGGGACTAACACAAGAAGGTTTTTGAAGGTAAGTGAGGAGTTGTAGCGGTGAGTTCCTGAAGTTCTGGGGCCTGACAGCTCAAAGACTGCTGGTGGGGTAATTTGGGATCTGGGGGCTGTGGACAGCCCTACCTGGGAGCCTGAGCTTGTGTTAGAAGTGGAGGCTGCAGGAATTCTGCTGGTGCAGACTAGTGATGAGGACGAGGCTGGGGGGCATCTGCCTCTGACACTCATGGGAAGGAACAGCCTCCATCCCAGTGTCAGCAGTCCCATTGGTGTCCCTCGCCAGTACGAGGTCTTTTCTTATGGAAAAGCCATGGGAGGGTGTCCTGAGAGCTCTGTGGCAGGTGCCTGCAGGGCCCAGGAGTCCTGTATTGTTGCCCCCTTGGGCGGGGGTTTCTGGCCAAGGTCTCATCTCTCCTACCCTGTTACTTTGAAGACACATCCCACAACAGTTCACATGAGCAACTGTGCAGCTGAGCATCCCTGATACTTAATAATTACACAGTCAGTCAGTGACTGTCTGCATGCCCCATTGGGCACATGATGAGGCTGATCTCTTGTGATGTGATTATATCGCTGCGTCAACAAAATGGGTTTATTCTGCCCATTGTGTGACTGGACAGACAGCAGTTAAGATGTCCAGCTTTTTCTTGCATTCACAAAAGGCTGTGTTGCCCGTGAAGTAGACTAGTGCTTCTGTTGCTGCTGCCTAATCTTTTGTGGATTCTCTCTGCATGTAAAACAGTTACTGCTTTTTAACATACACAAGCTAGGCTTCTGTGCAAAGCTGGCTGGTTTGATTTGACCAAATGCATTCAGGCTTGCCTTCCTTCCTGGAACCACACCTGTGTGCCATAGAAATTTTTATTATTTTTTTTTTTTCATTTGCAGGAGGAGTCTGACTGGAACTTGTGAAGTCAATCCCTTTGCTTTTGAAGCTGTACATGATATAGTGAACGAGGCATAGTTGTTAAATTGTTACATTAGCTTATTTGCTTTGTTTATAATGTGCGTAAACACTCTTTTCATTTTCCTTTTTCAATCTCCTAGGAAAGAACAGAGGTCTTCCAGGAATTCCTAAAATCCAAGACCGGCATCTTGCTTTGCACTGTAAGTAACTTAGAGTCCCTTTGCAACTCCACGTTAATGGGCCTGTCTGATATCTAATGGTAGAACAGAGGACTTGGCACTGAGCTCTAATTCCAGCTCACTGTCTGACCTTGAGGAGAGTCATCTCCTTTTTTCTGCATCTCACGTGTTAAATAAGGACTGGTGCACTCTGCAAACTGTTACATGATCTCTTGCTGCAAGGTACCACATACAGAAAAAGTGTATTTCTTATACAAGAGGCCTGTAAGTATTTTGCATGGTCTTATGTCTGGAAAAAACCTGTTCATTTGAAGCTGGAACCTGGCCCTCTACATGCAGTCAGTAGAACGCAATCCTAATTTGTAGTATGCCCCATAAATGCCAGGTAAATTGGATGTAATGTGATATTTCCCATCTTAATGACTACACCAAGGTTAAAAACCAAAAACCTGCAGGGATGGAAGGGAAGCCCAACCAGAAGATGGTGTCAGTAGAAATGCAGATGCTCTGCTGATCTCCACGCTTTGCCCTTCAAGCTTCCTTCAAGGGTGCTGAGGGAGAAATTCTTGTCCTCTACTGAAGTTTTCTGGCACCCTTGTGTTATGGTGGCACCTTCCACTTCTCATTTCTGACCTGTCGGTGCCACAGTTAGCCTGCTGCAGTGGTGCAGAAGGCTGCACGATTTGCTCTCTAATAGTGGCAGCTGTTGATCTGAAAATGTGTGAATCTTGCCGATTTCTACCCACCGCAAACTTGTAAATTACAGCGATCGGGAGTAATTAGAGCTGAGAAACCCTCTCCAGCTCTGAAATGCCTCCTGTTCTTGCAGCACATTCTTCTTAAAGGAAACTAGTTGCAATTTTTATTTTTTTTTTTTTCAGAGAGTGGGGGCTGAATTTTGTCTTCTTTTTATGCCTACAGTTCAAACTAGGACTGCCGTGTAGATAGGAATGTTTGATTTAGCGTTGCCAAATTATATGTTGTATCTCCTGTAAAATTGTACTTGTGACATCCTAGTCTTGGTCCTGCTCGTACGTACAACCTTTCAATGATTTGATCAAGGTCAGAATGCATCTTTGCAATGCATAAGTGTAACTATAACTTGGTTTCCCTCTATATGGAGGTAATACTCAAGTGTCTCAGCTGAGGAGGATAGCAAAGCTTAAATCATTCAGTGATGTAGATTAAGAGTTTTGAAGATAAAAAGCGTTTGGTAAATTATAAATGAATAGCTAAATTTTGTTATCCTTTGTGCACATGCTGTCTGTAACTGAGAAATTTCATGGACATGGTACTGAAATTTCAGTTTAATGAGTTTGGAAAGACAGTGAATGCTTGATTTTAGACAAAGAGAAAACAGAATCATTGCAGTCACTGGGTTATCAGTTCCTGGGTGAGATTGTTCAAAGGGGAAAAGCAGCCTGTGGCAGGAAAAAAATCTGCCAGGAAACCTGCAGCTGTTGACAAGGTAGGAAGAAGAATAAGTTGGATAAAGTAATCCCAGTGGATGGGATCCCCATCTTGAGACACTGGAGATGTGGTTTGATTTCCTGCCATGCCACAGACTCTGTACAAGTGGATGTTGAATTGTGATGACAAGGCAAGTAGCCACGTCAGCTGAGCAGCGATAGTTGTGTGTTTGCTCCTGACCTGTCATAAATGGGAGGTGAATTAACCTAGATTGCTGTGAAGAGGGTGGTGTAAGGTAATGCATTTATCGTAACCCTCCCTCGTTTCAATCTAAGCGACTTTGCATTTACTGCAAGGTAGGGATGCAAATCCTGACAGTTCCAGTTACTATGGCTCAGCTGGCACATGGTTAGCACGTTAGGCACAGTAAGTTGTGTGTCTGAGTCCAAAAACTCTGTGCTTCAGCTCCCCATCTGTAAAATGGGGATAGTAGCACTGTTCTATCTTACAGAGATGTTGGGAGGACAAATGCATTGAAACCAGGAGGTGGCCTGTTACCACAGTAATGGGGACCATATGGACACCTTAATATAGAGATACACTTTGCACTAGTCCCACATTACAGGTGCCTCCCCAACGCAGATGTCCAAAGGGCAGCCAGGCACTGTGACCACCTCCTGCCTCCGAGGGCATTGTTTTTTCTGATGCTTTTCTTCATATCAGCAAAAATGTTTTGCAGAAAGATGGTTCTGTTCTCTTCACTGCAAAATCACGTTTTGTACCCACAAGATTTTGAAACCTGGCTCACAAAAGCACAGCACAAATAATGTTGCTGTCCTTTCCTTGTCCCTTATGCCATGTTCTCCACCCATCTTTCCGCTCTAGTAAGCAATAGGACCTGCTGTTCCTTTTATTAATTTGCTCTATGTCATATGTATATTAATATATTCCATAAAATATTTTTGCCAGACAATATGAGCTGGCAGACAAGAAAATAAAGAAAGGCTGTGTATCTCGGAGGGTCTCATCCAGATTTTTCTCTCTCCTTCACTGAAGTTCTTTGTGGCTTCCTTTGGGATGTGCCTTTTAAACAAGTTCATCTCTTCCAGGGAGAGAGGAAAGATCATTTGGAGATTGTTTGCTGTTTACTCAGTCACGCTAACTCATCTTGCCAGTTTTCTGGCGGCCCCAGCCAAGAGCTTTCGCCTCTGACAGCTTCTGTGCTCTCTCCTTCCTCCTCTGATTACGCAGCCCAATCTGTCACCCTGCCGACGGGGGTCTCTACCCTGCTGATGGCTTTCCACACTCGGCAGTAATGACTTTTGGCAGGCCGGGAAGGCGCGAGAGCTTCTTCCCCAGCTTGGAGAGCCGTTAGGCCCTCTCTGCCTGTTAGCTAAAGCACTTTGTGAGGTTCTTTGGTAAATAAATGAGTCATTTTAATCCAACTGACAGCCTGGCACCTGAGCAAGCTGCCTTCCATCTGTACTTCTAGGCCTCATGTAGGCAGCCAATTGTCAAGCTCAGGGCCTTCAAGACCTCACCATTGAGTGTCTTTCAAAAGCAACTTTAGCAATTTCCTTTGCCCTAATTAGATTGTGTGAGAGGGACTGAGCAAACCAAGGCCCTTGCATAACTTCTGTGGCTGTATTGGTACTGATTTTCTGCAGAGATATGGCTCAGTGTGGCCTTTTTGCCCTCCATTCCCTTGCACCCACCCCTCTGTACCCCACCACCTCGAGCACAGGCTGGTAACGTGAATGGCTAGAAGCAGAAATTTCAGCATTTCTGAGGGACCTCAAGTGGATTGTACCTTGGTACTGTGCCATTCTCTGGCTTGCAGTTGGGATCAGGGCAGGAACATGGTTACGGCTTCAGATTATTGTGTTTGCTTGGCGTCTGGGTTTTCTTTAAATTTGCACTAGTGAAGATAATTTCTCCTTGCTCCTGTGAGATGGTCACTTAATTCTCCCTTCCATTGCCCATTGAAAAGAATCAGTGGTGACCTGCTGAGGTGTCATATTCTTGATTTCCCTGTTATTAAGGAATGGTGGTGTGAGGTCATGCATGGAAAGGGAAATGCCACCTGGGGCAGTGAAAAAGAAGGGAGAGCAATAGATTGGAAATCTATTGGGCTTCTTGAAAGAGCACTGGCAGTAGATTAGTGCTGTGTGTGGAATAAATGTAGTGCTAGTAAAACCGGGTAATTGTTGCTTGAGCTGTATTCTCTTTCCTGGTAAGGTGACCCATAAATATTTTTCTGAAGATCTGAGAAACAAGAAGCTCATGGGCTCTGCTAGCAGAGGAGAGCATATCAACTCAAACTTTTTATCCTAATTCTACCTTGCTGCTGTCTACTAGGGTGTTTGAGGAAAAGGAGCTACAGGAGACGCAGGTGGACTGATACTGAGGAATCTTTGAGAGTTTGCAAAACACTCCAATTACCAGTAAATCCCAAGACACTTCTGAAAGAAAGCCAAGTGAAACCCCAGGAGAATAGCTGTTGATACGTGTCAGTAACAGCCGAGTGGAGTTGGTGGCATTGTGAAAGCAATAGTGAATACAAGGCTGATGATGGGAGAGAGCCTTCTCCTAAAATGTTGCCCCTGCCTATTTATTAGGCTTTTGGTTAACCTTTTCAGCTTTCCTGCTTGCTTTGGCAAATGCACATGAGAACAGTTCTGTCTGCAGCAGTAGTTTCCCAGCCAGAGGTATTGAGAAAAGGTATTTTAGAAGAGGAGGGAAAGAATCCTGATGAATAAGAGGGATGACTCCTCTCCTTGCCGTCGTCTTCTCCCTGTGTTGGAGGTGCCTGCTCCTGACCACAGGGATGGCTTGGCTATCCGTCTATTTTGAGTTAACTCACCCTGTCCCAAGGTCAGAGCCCTCTCATCAGACACAGCCTTTCGAAGACTACTGGGTGTGAGAAAAAGCACAGTATAGGAAAAGACCAAAGGCTTGTCAGCATGGAGGTATATAACAGCCAGCCAGATCGGAATCAGGTGTCAGCATACTGTCTGATCGTGCTGTAGAGTTTATAATCTTGTTATCCTGGTAACTGCTGTACACGTTCCCCGACTTCTCTTGATTTATTTTCTCCAACCTCCTTTAAATGGCTTTTTGTACATCTGTTCATTCTGACTCTGGGAACAAGTCGTTTCTTAATGAGCATGTTGGAGCGAAAGTGTATGTTCTTTCAGAGTGGGCGCTGTGGAAAGTGTCTCCTCTTTTACTGCAGTTGGAGCCACAAAGCAACCTGGCTAGTGCTTATGGGAAGGCCTTTGCTGCCAAAACATCAGCTTCCTAGTCTTTTAACGTGTGTGGGAGTTGCACAAAAACACTTCAGTGGGTGGCTGACACATTTTTAGTACATTAAGCTCCTGCTTACGTTCTTAATATATTCTATTTTGCAACTAGCTAAAAGATACATGTGTTCCAAAACATTTCCTAACAGAGTTAAATCTGCACACCTGCTCTGCCGTTGTGCGTGGTGAATGTAAAATCCAAGGAGTATGTGAGGGCACTGCTAATGAACAGAAAATCAAGAAGGGAGATTGAAACATGTTTGCATGCACTCTCTCTCTGTTTTGAACAGTATTTAAACTCTCATTTCTCTTTGAAAGGGTGTGTTTTTTGAGCTATACTGGCTGTAGATAACTAAAGGGTCTCATTCAAGTCCTTCTCCAAGTTGATGGGTTTTCTCACCAGCTGGCACATCAAATAACACTCCTGACAGCACCTTCAGACTCTTTTCTTCAGGGTTGAGTTTTGTTTCTCCAAATTAAAGCCAGACTGGTGAAAATCTAGGGGATAGCCGAAGTCCCTCTCCTCAAGCTGTACTCCAGCTTCCTGCAAATTCTGCTAAATTGTTTGTTGGCCCCTTTATTATAGGGCCAGGTGACCTGCAAGTCATCTGCTCCTCAGCTTCAGACCATCACCTAGGAAAGAACTAATTATTTGTCAGTGGAGATCAGTACATCTCTGAACATTCCACTCAAGGCCTAGGATCCTTGACCATTTGCTTTATGGCCATTTTCCTTGTCATCATAAGCAGCCTATTTTTAGTTCTTAGGCTTGCTGTGGAGAAAACTGTGCTCAGAAATAGTGTTGCCTTTCAGAGATTTAATTCTGCCTCGCTCACTGTTTAGGTAATAGGTGTTTACAAGCAGATCTGTTTTCATCAGTGAAACAAAGTGAAGGACCAAAGGTATCACAACCATTAAGACAGTTGGTTCTCTCAGGTATAATGTAAAGGGACTGTAGCAGACTGCTGTAAGTCAACACCACTCTCCTGAAATAAGTGTTTTTATATCCTCCAGGCTTTGGGACATAGTAGTGGATCATTTTTTATTGTATTAGACTGTTAACAATATTCCTTGCATTTTGAACCCTCAACTCTATTTGTGACCTTCAGTCCATCACTCCCCAAACTAGGCACATAAAATTCCTACTTGCATAACCAGTTGTTTCCTGGCATAATTGCCATCCCAGAAGAGTTCGTTCTTTGTCAGTATCTTCAAAGCATTTTTACTAAAGTAATTTCCTTATTAATTTTAAAGGATGTTGCAGCACGTGGACTGGACCTGCCTCAAGTTACATGGATCGTGCAGGTAGGTTTGCTGTGTATGTATATGTGTACATATGTATTAAGTGCAGTCTTGCTCAGGTGAAATCCCTTTCCAGTCCGGACCTTCTTTGTACTGATGCCTACAGGTGTGGGAGATCCGCATATTCCTGACTGCAGGTCTGGGACTCAAGGTTTTGCTGGGTTACAGCATTGCTCTCATATCTTTGGTTTTGACAGTCTGTTTTCCTCTTCAATGACTCCAGCGTTATCCACTGTGTAATAATATTCCACTGGCTGGGAGGAAACACCCTCTGTTTCGCCCCACAGGAAGCCAGATCTTGTGAAGTACTGGCCATCTCTCTTGCAGTTCTGTGTTTCTATTTTTCTGAGCTTGCTGGGGAGGCAGTTCCATGAGGAGTTTAAGTGCAATCCTAATGTTAAACATTGAGTAGCCCAATAATGTCTGTGCAATGACCTGAATGTTTCAAGTGAGGCTTGGCTGGGTAGCTGTAAGCATTCAGCTTTCACTAGAACTGCATAGTTCAGATTTTCCTTGAAGAAAACACAACCAAACAATGCAGTTTTGCTGCATTGCTGTTGACAGAAATATTATCTTTGGGGGAAGAAAAAAATAGAAATTAAAGGAGATGGATTAAGCCTTAAAAATAGCAGCTTGTCATTTCAAAGAGGACATGTGAAGCAGATTTCATTTTTATCAAAGATTTATAATTAAAAAAAGGTTACTTGAATTGGGGAAAAACTGATCCAGAGATTGTCGTGTATCAAGTGACACCTGGGCAAAAAGACCAGGGCACAGAACCTCAACAAAGCTTTTTAATTTCTACCTCATCCCTTCAGGTAACGAATTTTATTTTAATTTTGTGGTTTTTAAAAAGAAAGATTTTGTAGCAGCTAGCTAGTCAGAGCAGGCTGGAGAAGTGGAAGTCTTTAATTCCCAGATCTGTATATTAATATAATTTAACCGAAGATATAGTTGCCAGTGTTAGAACGCAGTGCAAATTACCTAAAGCCCTGGGAGACTTCTGTGTGTCCAGAAGGCGAAATCTCAGCTGTCCTGAGAGCTGTGTCCAAGAGCAGGGACCTGCAGGGAGCAATTAGATTGCTCACAGCATCTTACTCACACCTCTAGCCAGTAGAAACTTTGCCAGAGGGCACAGGTATAAACACTAGAGTGGGCTTTGGTTGTTGGGTTTTTTCCAGTTAAACTGCTGAGGGCTCATTTCTGAGCAGTATCTCTGTGCATGTTCATTTTTCCAGGAAAGAGAGGAGGGGGGAAGAATAGGGGGAGGTTAAAGGGAGGGAAATATGTCACCCTTTATCAGATCTTGCAAATGACTGGGCAGTTTTGATTCCCAGTGAAGTAAACAAGAGGCATTGCTGTATTTGAGGGGGGCTTTGAGCAACATTTCCATAGTGACTGATAGTTATAGATGGGAAGACAATTGCTACCTGTGTCATAAAGGCCTTATTCCCCCATCTCTCTTAGGTTGCTTCTAACCAGTAACCAGTGATGATTTAATCAAAACAAAGCAATTTAGCCCAGCTCCAAATTTGAATTCATCGTCTTTTATTTCATGTTTTTTCTCCCAAAAGCAGAGCAGGCAGCATCCTGTATGGGCAGTCCTGGGGGCTGTTTGGTTTGAGAAAAATATATTTTTAATTTTTTTTTAAGGGAAGCAAACAGGTTCCTGATGTGCCTGTAAAGAAATAAAATGTAAAAGGCAAAGAGAGAGACTGAAATGGGGAAACTGTCCTATTATCTGAAAGTTGGCCGATGTGTCACATTCATATGTCAAAAAAATGCTGTGGCTGAGGGGGCTGAGTGATGGTTACAGGGACGAGCCCAATGGGCTCTTTATAAACAGGCCAGTTCCGAGGGAGGTGCAGCATGTGGGCTTTACTAAGATCCCTTTTGTTTCAGATGAGCGGTCTGAGTGTCTCGTTTATAATTAACACGCTGTGTTCTGTTAATTCCTCCTTTCCCTTCTCATGTTCCCTTTTTGAAGTATAACGCTCCAGCTTCACCTGCGGAATACATCCACCGGATTGGGAGGACGGCTCGCATTGGCTGTCACGGGAACAGCCTGCTTGTCCTGGCGCCTTCGGAGGCAGAATATGTCAGCTTGCTGGCTTCTCACAAGATTAAGTGAGTCAGAAACGCGAACAAAAGTTTCAGCTCATCCTTGCTAATTAACCTTCCGTGGCACTTTCAGCGGGACTGTGTCTCGTGCAGGTTTTAATAAGAACTTATTAATTCTTGTGATCCAGGACTGGCCCCAGACTAGCAAAAGGAGAAAAGAAATGTGCGTGAAAATCATCAGCCTGACAGACTATGCATGAGTGAGTGTGTGTGGTGAGGGGCAGAGAGGAGACGATAGACGGAGATCCTTTGCACTTGGTTGTTATCTCTCCGGCCCTGGGTTCAAATCATGGCTATGTGGAGATCACAAGTCAAATGAGCCTGTCAAATGCTAACTGGCCATCTGCCTGCATACCACCATGTTGTCAGAAATTGTGCTTTCTCTTCAGGAGAAATCCGGCAGAGAAATAGCTGGGGAGCCATGGGTCATATCTGGCAGGTAGTTGACCGAGATGTGTGGTATAAGTGGCTTGTGACAGGAACAGTAGAGCCTTTTGCAAGAGGCGAGTGCTGGTATGGTCCTGGAAGGCAATAAGGGGGGTGGACTCTGCAGACCAAAAGTGGGGTGTGCTTCCAGGCTAGCTGAGAAAGCCAGAGCCAGTGTCAGAGAAGCTAAGATTTGGGAGTAGATGGTAGGGAGAGCAAGCCAGGCTGGGTAAGGACCAGCCCAGCGTGCAGCTACCTGGTGGCCGACACATGATGAGATGTTAGTCCAGCTCTGCTTGTCCAGTGGTCCTTTTGTGGAAAAACACCAGCTCGGTGCTCTGCTTTGCTAGTCAGGAATGCTATCTGGTTTCAAACCTCGTCAGCTGGATGTATGTGACTTCCCTTGCTCTCTGCACTGCTGTCTTTCAGTGTTTCAGAACAGCAGCCGAGTAGAGTCCCTTTAGTGTTATACTAGTGTTGATGGAGCTCTGTAAACTCATGCACAAATTAGTTCCCTTTTATTTCTCGTGTTTATGTCGGGTGGAGCTACTTGGAGTCACATTTGGTTTTGCATCCTTGAAACAAACAAATGTTGGCAGTAAACACAGGCTTATTCTAGGCTGTGAGCCATTTAGTGGTCTAACAAAGAGCCATCCATCATCCCAGGTAACTATCTATTAAGCAGACACTAGCGAGATATGGAGGGCTAAGCTGACAGGGTTTTTTTTCATGTAACAAACAGCACTGACATTTAAAGGTGAAATCCCACATAATTGTGAATTTTTAACTCCAAGTGGAAAGTTTTATTTTTCTATTTTATAATATTTTAGAAGTGTTGGAGGAAGGAGAGGAAAATTTCCCTCTTTTTTTTTTTTTTATTCTAAATGATAATGCTTTTATCCAATTTTGTTGTTTTTTTAACAAGTTTAAGGAGCAGTGTCACTCACGCTGGTAATTATATCTGCTAAGGAGACCTGTTGTTGAGCCAACCAGTGTTCTTCAGGAATCTGTAGAAGGCTGCGCTGAACGAGCAGGACAAGGTTTATGTGAATATTTTTTTTTTCCCCTCCACTTCTCAAATCTATATAGCCAGACAACTCTGGGGATTGTCTTTTCTTGTTTGTTTTATGTTCTTCATAAAACGTGCTGCTCTGCAGATAAAGGACTTGCCAAAAAAAGACTGTAATTTGCCTTCTTTGACCCCCGACTTCAGATGGAAGAAAATGAGCATCTAATTGGCACGGGTGGGCGATTCGGCCTGTTTGCAGTCATGTGTCCTCCGCTC